CCTGCCACCATGCCTGGCTAATTTTTGTATGTTTAGTAGAGATGGGGTTTCACCACGCTTGCTGGTCCTAGCCTCATGATTCGCCTGCCATGGCCTTCCAAAATGCTGGGATTACAAGTCTAAGCTACTGCGTACAGCCCATGTGCTTTTAAAATATAAGTTGTTCATTATATTACCTATGTATACAGCCTATGTATTTTCTGTAAAAAACACATAAAAAATCACGTTAGCTCCTACACTTCTGCATGACCCTTTGATTTAAAAATAAAGTTAGCTCAAACTATTTTTCAGAAAAGCTAGAAAGGAATAGATGTAGACATAGACATAGTTTTTAAAAGTCTGGAAGTAAAAGCAATGCAATAACTGTAGTAATTTTCTCTAGTTAGTGAAAAATATGGCTTATTTTATTTCTTTATTTTTTTCTGTCGTTTATACATGTAACAACAAAACATGACTTTTGTAATGAAAAAAATAAGATTATGAAAAATTTGTTTTCTAAGGTTTTCTACCTTAAACCTAATAGAAGTCATATTAATGTAAGTGATCAATTCCTTCTGCTTCTTAATTATTAACATTTTCCTGTGACTTTTCCACTTTATAATCATTTCAGAACAATAATATCAATTATTAAATAATATAAAATGTATTTTAACAATATCCAGCACTTTAAACAGATTGCTGTTTTGTTTGCTAGGCTTGCCAGAATAAAGTACCACAGATTATGTGGCTTACACAAGAAATATATTGTTGGGAGGCCAGAAATAAGAAACCAAGGTAACAGGTGGGTAAGTTCCTTCTGAGGGATGTAAGAGAGAATAGGCTCCAGGCCTCTGGCACAGCTTCTGGTAGCCCCAAGTGTTTCTTACTTTGTAGATTGGGTTCTTTCTCTGTTTTTGCCTTGTATTTCCTCTGTGAACATTTCTTTCCGAGTCTAAATTGGTCCTCTTAATAAGGACACAGTCACATTAGGGTGAGCCCTAATCCGACATTTGTTTTCTAAGTTTTCTACCTTAAATCTAATAAAAGTCCTATTGGTATAAGTGATAAACTCCTTTTATTACTTAGTTATTGACATTTTCCTGGTGCTTTTTCACCTTATAGTTATTACAGAAAATAACATCAATTATTAAATAAAATAGCAGAAATAAATGGTATTTTAACATTTTACCTTGGTTATCTGCAAAGACCGTATGTCCAAATAAGATCACATGCACAGGTACTGGACTTTCACATTCAAAGGTCAGGACTTTAACGCCCTTTGGGGGGTTACGTAACAGTGCATAATCTCTCATGACTAGAAAAGCAGGCCGTCAACAGTAAAAAGCATGCCAGAATTTAATCACTATAGCCTAAGGAAGATGTTCCATTTTTTGTACTGTAGGAGCTATATTATCATTGAAAATTCTCCAACATAAATAATCTTTATTTTGCACAGCTTACATAGTCTGCTTGTCTGCAGCAAACATCTTGAATGATGAAAGATTTTTTAAAGATTTTGCAGAGGCTCAACTTTGATATTTAAAACTACTATGTGGTGTCATTATCTACCATGATTTTTCATCCTTCATTATCAATCACCATAGAGCTTGTGACCACAGCATCGTCTCTTAAGACTGTCTTCCTGCTTCCCACTTACAAACGTCTGACTGTTTCTGTCTCCTTCTCCACTCATTTTAATTGATCATAATCCACTGTATCTTTCCATATTGGTCACATGTTTTAGGGACATTGAGTCCACAAGTATGCAAGGCAATGGAATGCAGAAAGAAGAAAGAAAACAGGTGATATATAAAGACTCCACATATTTTCCCTTCAGCCCTCACAGATTTTGTTTACAGAATGAATCAGATACACAGCCATACACAGCCATTTACAGAATGAATCAGATACACACACCAATCAGATACACAGAATGGTGGAAATAGGTTGACGTTCTCGTTCACCCTGGAAATGATATGTTCCATGTGAATACGGCAAATCTTAAATTGAGATTCAATTGTATTTCAGAAAAATGAGTTCCTTGCTTATGGTTGAATTCACAGAATATATTTTACCACAAGTAAAACTCTGGTTGGTTTTAATGAAAATATCA